GGTGAGCGCCTGCGGTACACACGGCGGGGCGGCGACGGCATGGAAGAGTGCGCGTCCGGGCCCCCGTCAATGTCGCAAAGAGAGGCGCTCGGCGTCATTGCGCCTGCCAAGGCCACCGGCACCTAGCGGCAGCCGCGCTGCGCCGGACGCGCCCTGGCTGTCGCGGCGGCCCTGAGACCGGGACCTCTGGCCCTGCCCAAGAACGGGGGTCTCTCTCTGCCCCCACCTGAGACCAGGAGCAGCCCATTGCCTTCCTGTAAGCGACGCCGCCCGCCAGCACGACTGGCACCGACACGGCCAGCACCACGAAAAGCTTCCCGGTGGTGGGGATTGAGAACAGCTGCTCATGACACATGGTTGAGCAATCGGGTGGGCAGGCAGGGTTGGGGATGTCAGGGCCGGGGGGAGTCGTCAGGGGATGGCTGTTTTTGGGTGTGGTGGTTGGTGGGTGACAAGAAAAGTTGAGAGGCGCCGGCGGCACCTGCCCGCCTGCCACTTCGAGACGAATTGGACGTGGCCGCCAACTTGGCATCCGCACGGCGGGTGGCAGACAATGACTGGTGCATGGCGGTATCAGATGTTATCCAGCGTCTGAGCAAATGCCAGCTCGGGCAAATACGCCCCCCTCCAACCACCCCAACAGGCCGTGCTCACATTCAGCACTTTGTACTTGAGCTCCGCTGCTGAGGGCAGCGCGCTCTTGCGCGCCGCCAGCGTCACGGAGGCCGCCGGCATGGCATGCTGCAGCGAAATGGTCGCAGCAGCTGCGGCCGGCGAGGGCGGCGGCAGGATGACGGCGCCGGCGCGGCAGCCCTGGGACGCCGCCAGTGCGACGCACGCGCCCAGCAGCGCGGCCTGCGGGAAGCGGCGGATCGCCATGCCCAGCAAGCCATTGAGCTGCTCGTTACTACATGCCCCGCTGCTGTCGGAGGAGGGTGCTGCAGCACGCGGCCTAGCGGCACATTGCGATGTCTGCCTGCGACTCGGCAAGGCGCCCGGCAGCGGCCGCACGCGGCACAGCGCCGCCGCTCTACAGTAGGATGTGGCGGCCTCCAAACGCCTCATGCTGAATGGCAATAAGACTCTGTGCAAGTTCGTCCCTCGGAGGCACGCTCGGCTGGAACCGTGCTTTGAGAAAACTGGGCTACTGCCTCTCTGAGCGCCAGCAGGAAAATTGAGACAACATAATTGGGGCTGTTTTCACTGATGGAGCTCAATTGAAGCGCGGAGACTGTGCTTCAGGAGTCACCAATGCAATCAGCTGCGGGTGACCCACTCCCTTTAGCTGATTGGGCGTAACAGTACCAGCTCGTATACGCATGAAGCGTCCGAGGCTGACTATTTCACGGGAAATGACAATGATTTGACAAAGATAAGAGATCTCATCGGTGTCGATCTGTTGACGACTTGACACTCGTCTAGGGGGTGGAGTCTGGTGGCGAAGCAGTTTAAAGATTGGAAGACATCACGTTGGCACGCAGAGGGCTGCCGAAGTGCTGATTTTTTGAAGCGAATCGTGCAGTTGGTGCGCTGCACCGCACGCTCGTTTTTGCGCATGCGGCGACCAGGATCCGCCGATCGCACGCCGCCCTTGATGGCACAGCCAGCGACCGGCCGATGGCGAGAAGGCACGCGTGATGCACGTCGGAGGCGGATGGCTGGGTTCTTCTGCTCAACTGTGGCACAGCTGCTACTGGTGCTGATGCTGCGCGGCGCCGCCGCCCGCGTGGAGATCATCACAGGCGAGCCCTTGCATGCGAACTCGCTAAGCGCAAGGATGAGTCAAAGCACTGTGTGCCACACTCCAGTGCTGTGTTGAGAAGCGTGCACAAGCACCCAGCTGCAGAGAGGCCGACTGCGGGCGGTGACTGCGGCGGACCGTCCCTGCTGCGCACGCACAGGGCGGCCTTGCAGTGCTCACACAGCCGCATGGCATGCCGCGGCGGCAAGGCGGCAGCAATCCTGATTGCACGCCGGCTCACTGGCCTCGTGCATCATCATCACTCAGCTGCACACCCATGCCCGCATGTGCCCCTCAGATAACCCCTCCCCCTTTGCGGCGGTGGACCCTGACGCCCCAAAATTCGTGGTCACCGTCTTCGACGATGGTGCGCACTGGTGCCTTACGCCACAGCCTCTACTGCTGGCCCCACCTGGCTCCATGGGCACACATGTTCCCCAGGCGTCATGCCAGCAGCTGCGCTTGCCGGCATGCGAGCTCCTCCCCCGTCTTGCCCCCCCCACCTCCGACCACTGCGCCCCGCACTTGCCGCCGCCATGCCCGCAGCCGCCAAGGCGCCCCAGCCGCCCCCCGCGTCCAGATTCGAGCTCATGACCTCGGCCGACGGGCGGCGCTACAACTGCACCCTCCCGCCCCTGCCGGGCGCCGCCGGCGCCGGCCAGGCCGTCGGGGCGACCGCGGTTGCTGCGACGACGGTGGGTGGCGGCGCGGCTCCGGCGGCGCGCCCGCTGCTCGTGGCAGCTACCCGTGGGCAGGGCGGCCGCCTGATGGCACTCTTGTCGGCTTGATGGCCTTATTGTTGGCACCTTGGTGCCACCCGCGGGCCTGCGTCCGCCACACTGCACACCACCCTGTCCTAGCAATACCCAGGGGCCGCTCCCCATCCTGCATCGGCCCGGCCCCGCACACCCAACCCCGCCCTGCGCCGCGCCGCGCCGTGCCGCCGCAGATCGGCGCGGCCTCGCCCGCGGCCCCGGGCAAGTCCCCTTTCGACCTGCTGGATCCACTCAGTGAGCACGCCCGCTGCCCCGCCGCCGCGCCTGTTGCGCTGCATGGCGCCCCCTGCGCTGCATCGCGTCGCGCAGATCGAAATCCCCATCCCATTGGAAAATGGGGGGAAGGGGTGTGTTCGTAATTGAACTCACTTGCCGCACACGTACCATTGGAATGGGAAATTGGTATGCAACCATCTGTAAAACCCACCACCAAACACGCTGCGATCCTCGCACCGCGCTTAAGCCCACACTCGCACGCTTGTTGCCGCCCCTGCCCCTGCCCACCCCCTGCAC